GCATTACTTTTTACCCCATGACCTAAGGACTTCATGTAACTGGAAAATATACTTTCAGTGCCAATCCCACAGACTGAAAAAACAGTAAAATATCAGTATCTGATTAATTTTAGAGTTGATGACAGAGAATTTAAGCTGATTTATTGAAATGGCTTCATGTCCATTACTGTAATTCACTTGTTCATGAAACTGGAGTTTAAAAACATTTATTTTTAGGGGTGAAACATTTTCATCCAGGCAGCCCACTGTGATTTGAACAACCAAAAATAGTCCTTACAACCTCCTGATGAGTAAGAAAAAAGCCTGGTCAAGGTTATGTTCTTTGAAGTATCTGACAAAAGCAGGTAGCCAGATCTAAACACCACATACACTTTCTGGAAATCCTAGGTCAGACCACAGGAATTGCGCTCCAAGCATAGCCAGGCCAGCTGAGTCGGAGAGGTGGGTGCAACGCTTTGGTGGCTCCAGTTCTGGAATGTGTGACCAGCTGCCTCTGGGAAGGTTCATGGAGAGTGGTAACTGCACCCTTGAGTTAAAGGCAGGCAGTGTAGGATAGTGGGAAGTTCTACTAAAACATGTGACCTTGGGCCAGGAGTCAGATTACCATCTGGGACTCAGTTTCTTATTTGTAAAATGGGGGAAGTTAGACATGATGGCCTCTAAGATGTATAGCTCTTAAATGGGGCAACTCTTTGGAGAGCAGCTTCTGGGCCACAGAGAGGCTGGTGGAAACTAGCTGAACTCCACACCAGGTGAGCAGAATGAATGTGAAGATAGTAGCTCTGAGTATGGTCAGGAGGCCAGTCCAACTCAGCCAGTAAGAAATAAACCACATTCCTGAGATACAAATACAGTATGGTAATGCCACACGCACATACACTCACTCACACACACATACATACACACACTCACACATACTCTCATGTACACTAACATATATACCCTTACCCTTACATGTACACACAAGACACACACTCATTCTGAGAGTCACACTCACTTAAAAATTCACTCACATACACTCACTCATACAGTCACACACTTATACACATTCTCTCTCAAACACATACATGAATTGGTGCTGCCGGCTGGTCTAACAGAGAGCAGCCATGAAGGCCTGTTTGCCTCTCTTTGACCATGACACAAGACTGCATGTTCAGGCAGGACCAAGTCTCCTCTCCCAACTTCCTGAAACCCTGCCTAGCAGGAAAGGCTCCCAGGGAAACACCGGACTTGGAGAACATAGGGTATGGATTTTAAATAACCATTACCTTTGCGTCAAAGCGATCTTCAGCTTGTCATTCTCAGATTTCAGGTGGGTGTCAGCAGGACCCGTGTGGGAGGCCTTTTCATCATCTGTCCCATTGACACTGGATGCCTGAGTAGAAGATGCGGTTTCACACCCAGATTCCTGGTCAAAGTGAATTATCTTCACACATTATTGCTCATCCTCACATCAGCAGCAAATCAGGCATAATGAGAAACCATGTGTTTACAAGTATGGACGGACCAACTCATCTGTCCAGAACACAGTGGAGACTAACAAGTAAAAAAGACTAACAGAGACCATCAAGAACAAAAAGAAAAGTCCCAAAGAGTCCCTGTGAAGTTCACAAAGTCTGTGCACTTTCCTGACAAGAGGACCCCTCAGGAGGGTCCTCAGAGCCTTCTTACTGAAACTTTACAGACAAACCTAACAAACTCAGGTGACAGGTCTCCCAAAATAGCATAGAATAAAGCTATAGATTAAAAGAGGAGGAGGGACTGTCATAAAAAATGAGTAACAAGAAACAGTGAATAAAGTTTGAGAAAAAGTGTTAAAAGCTGAGATAAGAACTTAAAAATCCTGGGGCTACACAGAATTAGAGCAACATACTCATTAAAAAACCAAAAATCAAATGTGGATGTCTGCTCTCTCCATTCTTCTTCAACAGTGTTGCGACTCTTCTGCAATGTTCTCTGTAATAAGCAGCACCAAGTGGAGGTAAAATCTCATCTCATCTTGGATAAGATCCATATTAGACTCCAATGAGCATAAAGGCAAAGGCAGGAACCATGAAGGGGAACTATGTACTAATTTGATTAATTTAAAATTTCTGCATTGCAAAATATACCAAAAATAAAATCAAAAGGCAAACAAAAACTTGGAGAAAATATATGCTACAGATATCAAACACAAAATGTTAATATCTTTCCTATATTAAAAGGCTCTTAGAATCTTTATCTTTTAGAGCTACACCCCGAAGGCTTAATTAATGGTAGAAATGGTAAGAGGCTTAGCATTTGCTTTAGAATGGGGGGAGGCGGAGAGTAGGGTGGAATGCGATATAGATGAAACAATTGGCTATGAGATCCTGACTGTTAAAGTTGATTTTTGAGGGTCTTGTACCATTCTGCTGAGCTTTGCACGTGCTCAAAAATAAAGCTCTTGGAGAACGGTAAAACTAGATGAACATCTGAATTTTTAACAAACGGAAAGGAAACACAATTGACATTTATAAAAGAAGAAATGCATAGAATCTACACATATGTAAAAATAATCTCATTAATAAAGAAACAGCAAATGAAATAAACCCAGTAAGATATATTTTCACCTGTCAAATAAGCAAAAATCTGTTGGTAATGGTATAGGAGGAAAAAACCACTCTCATTCACCGCAGGTAGGAATAAGAACTGTCCATTTCTGTAGGCTAAGTTTGCATTATGCATCAAAAGCTTTTAAAATGGCCTTGTCTTTAACCCCATACTTCTACCTCTATGCATTTAGCCTGAGGAATCACAACATGCACAAAGATATGCAAGAAAGTTCATTGCAGCATTGTTTATATTAATGAAATATTAGAAAGAATATAGATGTCTCCAATTACAGGAAGTGGAATAAATTGTGATCAAACAAACCTTGCAATATTATTGAAGCATTATAACATTCTTAAAAGGGAATATCTGAAAGCATGAGGAAATGATAGTAACATGTTAAAGTTTGAAAAAAAAACAGGTGAAAATAGTATAAAAATATATTAGAAAAAAATATGAAAACTGGAAAACTACACACCAAAATATTAACAAAATACAAGCATATCATGCTTTACTGTGCCTTACTTTATTGTAAATTGTGAGGATATTGTATTTTTTACAAACTGAAGGTTTGTGGCAACCCTGTGTCAAACAACACTATCAGCACCATTCTGCTCACTTTGTGTCTCTGTGTCACAATTCTGGTAATTCTCACAATACTTCAAATATTTTATAACACTATTGCACACTTAACAGACTACAGTATAGTGTATAACTTTTCCATGCACTAGGATACCAAAAAATTTGTGTCACTTGCTTTACTGCGGTATTTGCCTGCAGTATTTCTGAGGTATGCCTCTATTTTCAAGTAGTGACAGAGTAGGTGATTCTCACTCCTTGCTTTATAATGCACTATTTAAAAAAAAAAGTTTTACAATATACATGTATTGCTTTTATAATAAGAAAAAAAATATCGCATTAAACTGTTTGGGGTATCATTGTTGTTGTTGTTAGGTGCCATCGAGTCATCTCCTACATAGCGACCCTGTGCACAGCAGAACGAAACATCTCCTGTGGTAGTTCGATTTGTGTGTCAACTTGGCTGGGCCTGGTTGAGTGGCTGGGCAGCTGGTGGTAGTTAATCCCCTAAGGAGGCTGGCAATCAACTCATGCTGGGATCTACCACAAGCAGCTGGGTAGCTGCCTTTGGGTATGTGGTCTGCTTCCTGTATATAAGGAGAAGCTTTGGGGTATGGTCTGTAGCCTATGGCACGCTTGGACCCTGCATATAGCCGTGTCATTGCTCAGCAGCCTGCTATGCTCTGCCGACCTTGAAACTTACAATGGACTTAAATTAATGGCCTGCTGTGTGGTTTGGTAACATTAGGATTGTGCCTTTTGACTTGTCAACCTTGGGGCTTCTCAGCCTTAGCAGCCAGCAGCTGTCTGAGTGAAGAAACACCTCTAGCTCCCGTGGGCTGGGAGCAGGAGGCAGAGCTGGACCCCAAGGTTGAGGGGCTTTCACCCAGCCCGTAGAGCCTGGCACTTTGAACTTGGACTTAAAGCCTCCAAATTGTAAAAACAAACTCCTGTTTGTTTAGGCCATCCCCTTTGTGGTATATTCTTGTCAGAGCGGCACTAGGTAACCATAACACCGCCCGATCCCGCGCCAGCTCCATCATCCTTGCTATACTTGAGCCCATCGCCACAGCCACTGTGTCAGTCCATCTCGTTGAGAGCCTTCCCCTCTTTCGTCAACCCTCCACATTACCAAGCTTGACATCTTTCTCCAGAGAATGGTCCCTTCTAATAACAAGACCAAAGTAGGCCATTCTCACTTCCGAGGAGCATTCCAGCTGCACTTCCTCCAGGATAGAATTTGTTAGTTCTTTTGGCAGTCCATGGTACTTTCAGCATCTTTCGCCAGCACCACAACTCAAAAGCATCAATTCTTCTGTGGTCTTCCTTATTCATTGTTCAGCACTCACATTCATATGAGGCAATTGAAAATATAATGGCTTGTGTCAGGCGCACCCTAGTCCTCAAGGTGACATCTTTGCTCTTCAGCACTTGAAAGAAGTCTTTTGCAGCCGACTTGCTCAGTGCTATACATCGTCTGATGTCCATTGGCATTGACTGTAGAACCAAGCAATGTGAAGTCTTTGACAACTTCAATCTTTTCTCCATTTATTGTGATGCTGCTTATAGGTCCAGTTGTGAGGATTTTTGTTTTCTTTATATTGAGATGTAATCCATACTGCAGACTATATTCTTCAGTCTTCATCAGTAAGTGCTTCAAGTCATCCTCATTTTCAGCAAGCAAAGTTGTGTCTTCAGTGTATCGCAGGTTGTTAATGATTCTTCCTCCAATCTTGATGCCATGTTCTTCTTCATAGAGTCCAGCTTCTCAGTTTCTTTGCTTTGCATACAGATTGAAAAAGTATGGTGAAAGGATACAACCTTGATGCACTCCCTTCTTGACTCTAAACCATGCAGTGTCCCCTGTTCCATTCGCACAACAGCCTCCAGGTCTATATATAGGTTGCTTATGAGTTCAATTAAGTGTTCTGGAATTCCCATTCCTGTCAATGTTATCCACAATTTGTTATGATCCACACAATCAAATGCTTTTGCATAGTCAATAAACCCAAGTAAACATCTTTCTGGAATTCTTTGCTTTGAGCCAAGATCCATCTGACGTCAGCAATGATATTCCTTGTTCCATGTCCTCTTCTGAATCCAGCTCGCACCTCTGGAAGGTCTCTGTCAATATACACTGCTGCAAACATTTCTGAATTCTCTTCAGTAAGATTTTACTTGTGTGTGGTATTAATGATATTGTTCAAGAACTTCCACATTCTGTGGGATCATCTTTCTTTGAAATGGGTACAAATACGGATCTCTTCCAGTCAGTTGGCCAGGTAGCTGCCTTCCAAATCTCTTGGCATAACCGAGTGAGTGCATCCAGTGGGGCATCTGTTTGTTGAAACATCTCAATGGGTATTCTGTCAGTTCCTGGAGCCTTGTTCTTCACCAATTCTTTCAGTGAAGCTTTGACTTCTTCCTTCAGTATCATTGGTTCTTGATATCATATGCCACCTCCTGAAATGGATGAAGATCGACCAGCTCTTTTTGATACAGTGACTCTGTGTATTCCTTCCATCTTGTTTTGATGCTTCCTGCATCATTCAATATTTTGCCCATAGAATCTTTCAATATTACAACTCGAGGCTTAAATACTTTCCTCAGTTCTTCAAGCTTGAGAAATGCTAAGCATGTTCTTTCCTTCTGGTTTTTTAACTCCAAGTCTTTGCACATTTTATTATAGTAATTGGCTTTGTCTTCTCAAGCTGCTCTTTGAAATCTTCTGTTCAACTCTTTTATCTTGTCAGTTCTTCCAATTGCTTTGGCTACTCTCCACTTAAGGGCAAGCTTCAGAGTCTCTTCTGTCATCCATTTTGGTCTTTTCTTTTTTTCTCATCTTTTTAATGACCTCTTACTTTCTTCATGAATGATGCTCTTGATGTCATCCCATAATTCTTCTAGTTTTCAGTCACAAGTGTTCAACGCATCAAATCTATTCTTTAGATGGTCTCTAAATTCAGAAGGGATACATATTTTGGCTCTCGTGGGCTTGTTTTAATTGTCTTCAACTTCAAGTTGACTGTGCATATGAGCAGTTGATGGTCTATTATACAATCAGCTCCTGGCCTTGTTTTGGCTGAAGATATTGAGCTTTTCCATTGCCTCTCACCACAGATATGGTCAATCTGATTCCTGTGTACTCCATCCGGTGAAGTGCACATGTATAGACGTTGATTGTGTTGTTGAAAAAAGGTATTTGCGATGAGTAAGTTGTCGGTCTTGCAAAATTTTATCATGTGATCTCCAGCATTATTTCTGTCACCAAGGCCAAATTTTCCAACTACCAATGACTCTTCTTTGTTTCCAACTGTTGCATTCTAATCACCAGTGATAATTAACATATCTTGACTGCATGTTTGGTCAATTTCAGACTGCAGAAGTTGATAAAAAGCTTCAATTTCCTCATCTTTTGCTTTGGTGGTTGGTGCATAAATTTGAATAATAGTTGGATTAATGGGTCTTCCTTGTAGATGTATGGATATTATCCTATCACTGACAGCACTGTACTTCAGGACTGATCTTGAAACATCCTTTTTGATGATGAATTCCATGCCATTCCTCTTCAAAATGACAATTATCATTTCCAGCACAGTAGATCATATGGTTGTCTTATTCAAAATGGCCAAAACCAGTCCACTTCAGCTCACTAATGCCTAGGATATCAATCTTTATATGTTCCACTTAATTTTTGACAACTTCCAATTTTTCTGGATATTAGATTGTTTAAATACTCAAATTTTTTTGAAAATCTAGCTAAAGTTCATTCCCTAAGAGATTCAGGAAAACAGAAGTCATGTGATTTCTAACTAAAATGAAAATATACAATGATCTTTATATCTGGGTAAACCAGACAAGGTAAATAAAAACAAAAGCCTAGAGACAAACATTTATACATAATTAGTAGTGTGTGGACCCCAAGACTGGAAGAACTAGATAGTGCTCAGCTACCAATGCCAACTGCTCGAAGAGGGATCAAACCTGGAGATCCTAGATGGAGTGGGAGAAAAAATGTGGAACAAAATCCAAAAACACAAAAACGACCAGAATTACTGATAGGATAGAGTCTGTTGGAACCCCCAAGACTATGGCCCCAGTTACCCTTCGGGCCTAGAACTGGATTCACTCCCATGGATTAGCTCTCAGTCCAACAGTAGAAAAAGACTAACATGCAGAATGCCTGTCCCAAAGTGATGCACCCACTTACTCTAGGGAGATACACCCCTTAGAGCAATCAGCCATGGGGCACCCAGAGAGACAGCATTCACACAGAGGGAAAGCTGGACAGACAGGCGTACATAGTTAAGAAGGGCACAGGGGGGACAGTTACAGGGACGGGAAGGGAGGAGAGTTTGTTATGGTCGGGCATGGTAACCAGGTGTGAAATCAAATGTACACGAATTGTTGAATGCAAAACAAATTTTGCTCTGTAAATTTGCATTCAAAGCACAATAAAAATTAAAAAAAAAAAAGGGTAGTGTGTATATAAAATAACATCTTATAGGTATACTTCTTTTTTTTTTTTTAAGGTTTAAAATGCTTTTAGGGGGAAACAAGCATTCACAAAAACCTTATATAAAGAACTTCAGCTTAAAGACATCACCACTGTATGTGGTATTCAGGAAAAGATGGCACATTAGAAACTCTAGAACCTGGACCATATCAGGTACCTGATTTACAGGTTCTCAGCAATTACTCAGTGGGATAATTAGTATTCTAATTTAATAGTCTCTTTTCGATTATATTCAAGATTATTTAGGAAAGTTCCTATCTACTGGAAGTCTAACATATTAATTTCAATAAATCCACACTGGGGCACCTTTTATATGATGAGCTCAGGACAAGGTGTTGGCATATAACTCAAGATAGACTTAGTTCTGAGCCACTGAAACTCCTGCCCTAAAGGTTAACCACAGTGGCTGGCAAACCCAGGGCCCCTCTAAGCATTCCCTCCTCTCCTCTCTGCAGTGCTGCCACCTTGAGTGTGCTTCTTCCTTGGGTTCAGTAATCCTGGAATTTCTCTTTCTCTGCTTTTTGCTGGTTCCCTTCTCTTAATTATATTCATTTCCTAAGGCTCTAGCTTTCTCTCCTACATCCCCACTGTTTCTTGTTGTACTCAAGGCTTCAGCTATGTTTCTGCAAGGCTGATGGCCAAGTCTAGAGTGTCTGTCAATCTTGACTGCTCAAGATGCCCAGGCCTCCTGGTTCACTTCCTACAAGCATCCCCAACAACCATCCTTGCCTTATAGACCCTGTGGATGCCCTGGCCCTACTATCTCCACCACACAGCTTCTGTGCCAACCTTCCTGCCTTCAACTACTCCCTGATTTCCTCTCCATCCACATGCAAACCTCTTGTTACAGCTAGATCAGTATTCATAAAATACCTCCAGTGTCCCCAATGATCCAATAGTAAATAATGACATATATAATTAATAAACAATAAACTACTCAGTGATAACTAATTCCAGGTCACTTACAATATCTCTAAACATATCTCCATGATTTCTACAGGCCACCTTCAGTTCCAGCCAGGCAGACACCTTGCTGTCTTGCTAATTCATCAAGTTATTCCTGAGGTCAAATCTTTGCTCCTGATGCCCTCTCTTTCCCTGTCTCTCTACAAATAACCTTGTCATCGGGTCAAGGCCTCCTACAACACAACATACACCAATCCAGATATAGAGAATGCAGCTATTTTTATTTCAGGTTAAAATAGGTCCTTTTCAATCATCACACTTTTAAGTAGACAGACCATCCAATTCTTGGCAAAGCCTGTCCTTTGGCTAAGACAGAGCTACTGGGATACTATCTCTCACCTGACTTTTGTTAAAATAGGAAGAAAGACAGGGCTTATCAAGTCTTCTCTCTCATGAGTACAAGGTACCAGGAATGGGGCATCTTTCATATAGACCTTACCTTCCAACCCAGCAAGAGCACATACTGCCCTCCTGCTGGTATTAAACATAGTGACCAGAGATTGTCTCTCAGGAGCCAGCAACATGCATTAATTCTAATCCTACACATCCTGAAAAATCCAAAGTCACATAAAAACATGTCACATCCACCACACTGTCAGTAGGCTTATAGTTGGAAAGGCCTTAAAACGCTCTACTGCTAGAATTCCCTACTTCCTGCCAAAAGTTATAGGGGAACAAGGAGTCTTAGACTGGTCACACTGAGATTTATTTTATGGACAAATTACTTACTTGGGAAAGATTACTTGAGGTTTCGATTTTCTCCTGGGACCTGTCTCTGGCTAGTCTTGCAGCTTCTTTCACTTCCTGAAATTTCTCTGCAAACTGAACATGAAGAACAGTTATTAAGGTATTTATTAACCTGATCAAAAACAAAAACAAAAACAAACCCAAACCACTGCCATTGAGTCAATTCCAACTCATAGTGACCCTGTATATGACTACTGAACTCAGCTTTGTCATGTTACATCCATTTTAAGTAAAATAATTCTGTACAAACCCAAAAGAAGAAATTTGAGATGAAAAAGAAATGAATATAACGGAACACTATTGGTCAAGGTCAGACATGAATCAATTTCTAAGCTACTGCAGTTAGTTTGATGATGAAATTAAAAAAACAAAAACAAAACCCTCAAGTTAACAGTCACTAATACAAAAGCAACAAAAGAAATTTAGCTATACCACTGAAGGAATCCATGGAAACATTATAATTTCTATCGAAAAGCACTCTTTTCACAAGTCAAAGTAATGAAAATCAAAATTTAAAGTTTGGGAGAAGGAATTCTAGATATTCAAAGTTTAAGATATAGTAAAATGCAACATGCAGTCTGACTGAATCCTGCTTTAAAAAGATCATCTATAAAAGACTTCTGGGGCAATTGGGGAAATATGAACATGGATTGGATCTTAGCTGACACCAAGGAATTATTACTGATTTTGTTATATGTGGAATAGTATTGTGATTATGTTGGAATATGTTTTCTACTTTTTTGAAGATGAACACTAAAGTAGTGAAATGAAGGAGTGAAATGTCTTGATTGTCTGTTGTTGTTAGGTGCCACGGAGTTGGCGCCAACTAATAGCGACCCTCTGTACAACAGAAGGAAACACTGCCTGGTCTTGCACCATCCTCACAATCCTTGCTATACTTGAGCCCATCGTTGCAGTCACTGTGTCAATCCATCTCACTGAGGGCCTTCTCCATTTTTACTGACCCTCCACTTTACCAAGTATGATATCCTTCTCCAGGGAATGGTCCCTTCTGACAAAATGACCAAAGTATGGGAGATGCAATCTGGCCATTCTCCCTTCCAAAGAGCATTCCAGCTGTACTTCTTCCAGCATAGCTTTGTTCATTCTTCCGACAATCCACAGTATTTTCAGTATTCTTTACCAACACCACAATTCAAAGGGCATCAATTCTTCTTTGGTCTTCCTTATTCATTGGCCAGTTTTCACATGCATATGAAGGAACTGAAAATATCATGGCTTGGGTTAGGTGTACCTCAGTCTTCAAAATAATGTATTTGCTTCTTAACACTTTAAAGAGGTCTTTTGCAGTACATTTGCACAGCACAATATGACATCTGATTTTTGACTGCTGCTGCCATGGGTCTTGATTGTGAATCCAAGTAAAATGAGATCCCTGACAACTTGACAACTTTTCTCCATTTTTCATGATGTTGCTTATTGGTCCAGTTGTGAGGATTTTTGTTTTCTTTATGTTGAGGTGTAATCCATACAGAAGACTGTAGTCTTTGATCTTCTTTGATCTTCATCAGTAAGTGCTTCAAGTCATCTTCACTTTCAGCAAGTAAGGTTGTGACATCTGCATACTGCAGGTTGTTAATGAGTCTTCCTCCAATCCTGATGATGCATTCTTCTTCATATAGTCTAGCTTCTTGGATTATTTCCTGAACATACAGATTGAATAAGTATGGTGAAAGGATATAACACTGACACACCCCCTTCTTGATTTTAAACATGCAGTATCCCCTTGCTCTGTTGGAATAACAGCATCTTGGTCTATATACAAGTTCCTCATGAGTAAAATTGTTCTAGAATTCCCATTCTTCACAATGTTATCCATAATTTATTATGATCCACACAGTCAAATGCCTTTGCATAGTCAGTAAAACACAGGTAAACATCTTTCTGGCATTCTTTGCTTCCAGGCAAGATCCATCTGACATCAGCAATGATGTCTCTTATTCCAGGTCCTCTTCTGATCCAGCTTGCATTTCTGGAAGTTCCCTGTCAATACACTGCTGCGAATGTTTTTGAATTATCTTCAACAAAATTTTACTTGTGTCTGATATTAATTGATATTGTTCAGTTCTGTTGGATCACTTTTCTTTGAAATGGGTCCAAATACGGATCTCTTCCAGTCAGAAGCTCTGGTGATGTGGATAAGGCGTTTGTCTGCTAACCAGAAAGTTGGTGAACACCCACCAGCAGTTCTGTGGAAGGAAGATGGGGCAATTGACTCTGTAAAGATTTACAGGCTCAGAAACCGAATGGGGGTTGCTATGAGTTGGAATCAACTTGATGGCAGTGAGTTTTCCAGTCAGTTGGCCAGGTAGCTGTCTTCCAAATTTTGTGGCAAAAATGAGTAAGTGGCTCCAGCTCTGCATCCGTTTGTTGGAACATCTTAATGGGTATTCTGTAAATTCTTGGAGTTTTTATTATTTTTATTTTTTAAACCAATTCCTTCAGTGCTATCTGGACTTCTTCCTTCCATACCATTGGTTCTTGATTACATGCTCCTCTTGAAATGGTTGAATGTTGACCAATTCTTTTTGGTATAGTGACTCTGTGTATTTCTTCCATCTTCTTTTGAAGCTTCCTGCATCATTTAATATTTTGTCCATAAAATCCATCAATATTGCAACTCGAGGGTTGGATTTGTCCTTCAGTTCTATAAGCTTGAGAAATGCCGAGCTTGTTCTTCCCTTCTGCTTTTCTAACTCCAGGTCTTTGAACATTTTCATTATAACACTTTACTTTGTCTTCTAGAACTGCCCTTTGAAATCTGTTAAGGCTCTTTTATTTTGTCATTTCCTTTAGCTTCTCTCCATCAAAAGCAAGTTTCAGAGTCTCTTCTGACATCCATTTTGGTCTATTCTTCCTTTCCTGTCTTTTGAATGACCATTTGCTTCCTTTATGTATGATGTTCTTGATGTCATCCCACAACTTGTCTAGTGTTTGGGTATTGGTTTTCAATGCATCAAAACTATTCTTCAGATGATCTTTAAATCCAGGTGGGATATATTCAAGGTTTTATTTTGGTTCTTATGAACTTGTTTCAGTATTCTTCAGCTTCAACTTGAACTTGCATATGAGTAATTGAGGATCCATTTCACAGTGAGCTCCTGATCTTGTTTTAACTGAAGATATTGAGCTTCTCCATTGCCTCCTTCCACAGATATAGTTGATGTGATTCCTGTGTATCCCATCTGATGAGGTCCATGTATATAGCTGTCATCTATGATGTTGAAAAAGGTATTTGCAATGAATAAGTTGTTGGTTTTGCAAAATTCTATCATGTGATCTCTGATGTCATTTCTATCACCAAGGCCCGATTTTCCAATTACCGATTATTCTTCATTTCCAACTTTCACATTCAAATCATCAGTATTCTTGATTGAATGTCTGGTCAATTTCAGACTGAAGAAGTTGGTAAACATCTTCAATTTCTTCATCTTTGGCTTTAGTGGTTGGTGTGTAAATTTGAATAATAGTAGTATCAACTGGTCTTCCATATAGGCATATGGATATCATCCTATCATTGACAGCACTGTACTTCAGGCTAGATTTTTAAATATTCTTTTTGATGATGAATGCAATGCTATTTCTCTTCAATTTATTGTTATCATCTTCAGCTCACTAACGCCTAGGATATCAATCTTTATGCATTCAATTTCATTTCAGACAACTTCCAGTTTTCCTAATTCATACTTTGTACATTCCACATTTCAATTATTAATAGATGTTTGCAGCTGTCTTTTCCCATTTTAAGTCATGACCAATCTTCAAATGGAGGTCCTGAAAGCTTTACTGCATCTACATCATTAAGGTTGACTTTACTTTGAGGAGGCAGCTCTTTCCTAGTCGTTATTTTGAGTGCCTTCCAACTTGAGGGGCTCCTCTTCCACCAGCACATCTGAAACTGTTTCACAGCTATTCATAAAGTTTTCTGGTAATATATCAGACAATATTTCACTGGTATTCCTAAGGTTTTCACTGGCCAATTTTTTTCAGAAGTGGATGGCCCTAACCTTCTTCCCAGTCTGTCTTAGTCTGGAAGCTCCGCTGAAACCTGCTTACCATGGTTGACCCTGCTGCTGGTATTTAAAATACCAGTGGCATAGCTTATAGCCTCACACTAACACCCAAGTCACCACAGTATGACAAAATGACAGACGAGAGTGCCTGTAATTTAATTTAAATACCTCAACATCAACAATAAAGTAGATGAAGAAGTGTGGCAAAATGGAAGCAACTGTTATTGCTGTTGTTGTTAGGTGCCATCAAGTTGTCTCCAACTCATAGCAACCTTATATACAGCAGAACAAAACACTGCCTGGTCCTGTGCCAGCCCCATAATCTTTGCTATACCTGACCCCATCACTGCAGCCACCATATCAATCTATCTCACTGAGGGCCTTCCCCTTTTTTGTTGACCTTCCACTTTGCCAAGCATGATATCCTTCTCCAGGGAACGGTCCCTTCTTACAACATGACCAAAGTAGGTGAGATGAAGTCTGTCCATTCTCAATTCCAAGGAGCATTCCAGCTGCACTTCTTCCAGGACAGATTTGTTAGTTATTTTAGCAGTTTATGGTACTTTCAGCATTCTTTGTCACCACAACTCAAAAGCATGGCCTCTTCTTTGGTCTTCCTGTTTCACTGTCCAGCTCTCACATGTACATGAGGTGAATGAGAATACTATGGCTTGTGTCAAGCGCACCCTAGCCTTCAAGGAAATATCTTTGCTCTTTAGCACCAGAAAGACGTCCTTTGCAGGAGATTTGGCCAATGACATACAACATCCAATATCTTGACTGTTGCTTCCATTGGTGTTGATTGTAGAACCAAGTAATATGAAGTCCTTGACAACTTCAATCTTTTCTCCATTTATCATGATGCTGCTCATTGGTCCCATTGTGAGGATTTTTGTTTTCTTTATATTGAGGTATAATTCATACAGCAGACTGTAGTCTTGAATCTTCATCAGCAAGTGTTTCAAGTCATCCTCACTTTCAGGGAGCAAAGTTGTGTTGCCTGCATAATGGAGGTTGTTAATGAGTCTTCCTCCAATACTG